GGCCTTTGGACTCTGATGTCATATAAGTATTTTAGCTGTTTTCTTGTTTTGTTTTTCCCTCACAAGCTGAGGTTGCTGATGGGCAAGATTTGAGAGAGGAGATGGAGTAATGGAAAGTGAAGTGTTCATTTGGAGCATGGAGCAACTTATCCCTGGTTCAAGGAAAAGTACACAAATGAGAGCTTTATACCTTGAATGCAAGTTTTTGTCACATTTATTTGGAATGCTGTGACATAAGGCAATATTGTACCTTAATGGTATCTCAAAGATCCTTCCACTTGAAATGCTTTTATTTATTTAAAAATAACAGCTGAATTTACAAGATTAAAGACAAACTAAGTAATAAAAGTTTAGTAGTAATTTTTGGCAATCTATTAAAGCCAGATTTGGAGACATTGAAAGCTATGAAAGTTTGTTACTGAATTTTCTATGATTGACAAATTCTTTCTGAGGGGCTGTAATGTTTTAGCAACTGCATATTCCCTTTTTACTATAGTCGAGTCCTGAGTTTCAGAGTTTGTAATAGTAAAGAAGTTACTTTGCTTTTGCGTGATTTTTCTCTTTTTATGGTTTTACTTAAAGAGATTTTATTTCTACATTTCTAGAGAAAAAAAATCTTCATTCTTTTACTGCCTTATGTGCTGAATGCACAAATATTTCATTTTCAGACTATAGATAAGGAAGTTGTGAGACGTTTTCTGAAAACTTTGTTGGTGTGTCTTCTACCCTTGCAAATAGTTCACTGTCTATCACAGATGAGGAGTAGTCAGGTATGTCTTAAGGTGGAAGACTGTGGCAGTGTGGTGTTTGTATGTGTGTGTTCTGGAGGCTGTAGCAGTAACTGTTGTTAAGTGGAGTGCCCTGGTATACTGTAGGGCTTTGCCTTAAGAGCTGGTAACAAAAGTTACTGACTGAAGTGTTACATTTCAGACACTAATCCAGATAGCTCACTTGACAGAATAAAGCTAATCCATTCCTTGTTAGAAATGCTGCCTTCAGCTTCTGAAAGATAGAACATGTACCCTCATGCCTGAACTCCACAGGGTTCCCTGGGCTTGAAAGTACAAGCCCAGAAAGGTTTGACTGGGGAGTTCTGAGAGAGGAGGACTAAAGACTATTTATTCCCCTTCTTTCTAGAAGTAAAGGATGTTTTAAGGTGATTAACAGTAAATTCAGCTCCTGAATTTCTCGTATTGTGGAGTAAATAGTCATAAATAAGAAGCAGTTTTTGATTCTTGGCAGCTGAAATAAAAGAAGTCCCAATTAACTGAAGAGAGTGAAAATGAACCTGAAAGAGACTTTAGGAATATTCTTGACAGTATGACAAGTCAAACTATTAATCAAGTCTTTATTATCTATAATTTCTGTAGGTCTTTTAATATGTTCTGTGTCTTACTGGGATCTGAATGTTTAAATTACTTTTAATTAACTAATAGTTTCATATTTCTCTTCTTAATAAACTATGTATCCTGTGACAGTTTTTGAGATTAAATCTGTGTGTCAGGTTTGGTATGTTATGTTTTCTTTTTAATTGTGTTATTTATACATTCAGTAATTTTACTGTATGCTTTCCAGTAATGTTGAGGTGAAGACAAAAGTAAGCTATATTAATAAAATTGCTCTTTTCAGGACTAGATGCTATAGTTAAAATAAACAATCAATAACATAGCTGTTTTATTGGTGGCTTCTAAAGAAAGCAAACATATAAGTACAGCTTAAAAATCATGCTATTGCAAATAGAACAGGTGTTTGGGATAATCTTTTTTTTCTGGTTTTCTTTTAGTGTGGCATAAGCAGTGTTGCGACGCAGCAAAATATTAGTGCATATTAAATTAAGCATGTTCTTGATCAAGGATGAATTGAAGCACATACTAAATACTAAACAAGGGCCAATGGCCTATATGAACAATGCAGCAATTCTTGGAAATGCCACTTTAATATACTCTTCTGTAGATCTCAGGATAAGTTTTATAAGAATGTGAATTGATTGTATCCCAAAACAGATAATAGCAATATTTTTAGCACTTACAGATTTTTTGTGATGATAATTTTTGAAAATCTACATTCAGTTCCTAATAGTTGCTATAAGGGATTCTGCTATTGTTGAATTGGCAAGAGTAGTTCTTGTATAAAGCTTTACAGAAGTGCTCAACCTTGCCTCCTCCCCCAAAAAGCATGCAAACAAAGATTGTTATTCATGTCACTCTTAATGGTTTATTTCCCATTTTTTTTCAGTGTATATACCACAGTTTATTACAGATACGCACTGTGGATTACCTGTTCTCTTAGTCATATTCTTCCTTATTTCTGGTATTATAGTATTTTGAGCAGTTTCAGAAAATCAGTTGCACAGAAAATACATTTATTTGTCTCTCAATCCACTTTAGAAATGGGACGGAGTACTGACTCCTCCATTTTTGCCTGTAAACTTGTCAATGAATGAGCATTAGATGGCAGCTAAAATTTCTGAACTCTGTTTTAGGAGACGTGTGAGATGCAGAAAATGATGTGAAACGAGAAAGTTGAGGATTGATCCTTCTGAAGATAGGCTCTGAACTCTAGAATGTGTAGTTGGGTCTTTTTTGGTCAAGTCCTTTGCTTATGCTTTCATACAACAAGACAACTGTGGAAAATACACTGCATTTCAGGTGAGGATTTTGAACTTGCAGAACTTACTTTGTTTTCTTGGTGAAGAAAAGACAGGTTTATTTCTGTGACAAGTCTGATGATGAGACAGCTCATATCCAAGATACACAGGACAGGTATCTTAAGGGAATTAACTATCGGACACTGTAAAAAATGCATACTTGCAGTTAGCAGCATATAGAATAGATATACTTTTAAGATTTGCTTTCTTTTATGATTTGTGCTGATGTTCTCCTTTTTGACTTTTTTTTGTTGTAGTTAAACAAGAATGTATATCTCGGTCTTTGACAGTTTTTTCTGTAAGGCAATGGTTCTTGACCAGCTAAGGAGTTGCTAAGGAGTCTCTCTGGACCAGCAATCCGGTTTATTTAGCTGTAATTAAGAAGGGAGATAAAACACTTTCCTTACTGTGGAGCTAGGATTTCAGACTTCTGGAAAAAGACCATCCTCACCCTGTGATTGCTGTGCCATTCTGCATACTGGAATAGTAGTTACAGGTACCTGGTGTAGGAGATAGGCCTGCTGATTTGCTTACCTTGAATCTTCTGTTAATACGTAGTCAACTTATGTGACAGTCCCCAAAATGCTGGACTGTCTTTGGTTCTTTTTTTCTTTCCCTTCCCTTTTTTTCCCTTAAACTTTCAGGAGCCATTTTGTTAGGGGACTGATTTTTCAGTTATTTGGTAGGATTAATCTTACCTGGGAGCATCAAACAGGCTTATTAATTTACTCAGATCTGTAAATTCAGTTCCTGGGTTTAATTTGTTCTTAAAGTCTTTGTTACGTCCCTGTGATGATAAGAGTGTTTGATGGCTAATTGCTGCTGGGTGTTTGACTTATGTCATTTCTGAGAGCTGTGGTGATGAAGTCTTGTAGCCCGTTTTTGATATGTGTAGAAGATCAGTAAGATGTTGGCACTGCACAGGTCCGTTTAGAGTTCTGCTGACAGCAGCAGTTGCAGGTAGAAACGGGAGTGTAATAAAGAACACAAAAGCATTGGCTTTGCTTGTATTACTTTGAACATGTTTAGGGCAAATACACATTGAACTCTGGCAAACCAACAGCTTTATCTTACTTTTTTTTTCTGGACAGGATCCAAAGTCAAATAATAGTTGTGATTCACTATGGGGTATTTATTTATTACTCGTAGAAATTAAACAAGTTTATTAATGATCTTCAGATTTTTATCTGTCTCAGATTAGCATGCTATATAAGTGATGTGATTGTAAGGGTTAGCTTTATAAAGCAAGCTTGATTTGCAGGGCTGCTGCTCAGGTTCTTTTGGTCTGTAGCTTACAAAGATAAATATTCGCCGATTTCTGTTGCTTCTATGAGTGTCTGAATTTGTCTCCAAATGGGCAACAGTTCATTTCTGAAAACTGCCACCACATTTGTGTTAATTGACAGTTGTCTTTTACAGTCTTGACAGAAAGAACAATGATTGAATGGCTGCAAGAGCTCGTTTGCTCTTTCAGCCTATGAGGTGTTTCTTTCAGAGAGATTTAAAGGTTGTTGTAGTGCCTGCTGTGCTATTCTCTGTCCTTCTGCCAACAAAAAATGCAATAGCAAAGCAGAAAAAAAGTGGGTTTTGTTTTTTTTTGTGTGTGTGTCTTTTACTGGGGCAGTTCGGTTAGATTTCAACATTCTGGCTTGGCAATAATGCTTATCTCTCAAAGACCCAGTTTTTACAGCGAAGTATGCCATTGGATATAGGTTCTATATGGTACAACTTTTATTCATAACTGAGTTATATGTAAAGCTGTATGTGGTCATATTTTTTCCCTCTCCTTTGTATAATGATACAAAGAAAAACAGAGCTGAAATACTAAATGTATTAGTTTCCTTTAAGGAGAATACTCTTTTTGCACTTAAAACTAATGATCAATTACAAATGTAGAACTTACAACAAGCGAAGGCCCCCTAACCCCTTTTGTTTTGACTGAGCCTTATTTTAATGCTTTCATTTATCTTGAAATGGTCATTTTCAGCTTTTCATCATGCAAAGCATTCTAAATAAATGCACATATTATTCTAATATTCTTTGAGTGAAATGTTGGTGACGACAAATTCAGATAATAAAAGCCTGAGATACATCTGGGTGGTACATTCTAAGGTAATTTACTGATTACTCTGCCCCTTTTGCTACTTTGTCACAATGGGGTTATTGTTTTACCTTCTTAGTACTACAAAGAAAATTGGCACCCTTATGAGATGTAAATACAAAGATACCCCCCACACCCCCATTCACATCTGAACACAAAAAAAGTTAGCAGAAATCCTTCTTCCCGTTTTCATTCTTGGTTTGAAGCCAGTGTTTAATGCTGCCTGAAGTGGAGTTACAATCTTTTTTTCAGGATTGTGGAATGGCCCAGGACACTACGGTGCCCAAACTGAACTTTGAATATTGGTTGGATAAAGCTATTGAATGGGGTCAAGCCACCACCTTGGAATCCCAGAAGGATGTGTGCCTTCACTTGCCCCGGCTCCAGGAGTTTCTACATCAGATTTATGAAACTTTAAAACATATGGTAAGTGACTTTAAAAGGAAGAGTGACCTGTTTTGAAGACACCCTCGGAAACAATCTGCACCATGTTTTGACGAAACTAGAAGCTAACAGTAGCAAAGAGGTTTGTGTTACTGACCTAACGTATTGCTGGATCAGAGAGGCAAATTGGGGAAACAGTCACAGGTAATGCAAACAGGAGTGTGCTTTCTGTTTCCCTGATTTATTGTGAAAGGAGCTTTTTCTTCTTGATTGGTTGTTGTCACGTGAGATTTCCCAGCCAATGCTCTAGCCTCTTTAAAAAACTCTTTAAAATAAACAAGAATTTGATTCTGGTTGTCAGGTCATAAATTGGATTATTTAAAGGCCTTAACATGTAAAACTGTAACTGATCCTTTAAATCTTGGAGAGTCTGTTGACACGTTAACCCCAGTGTTGTGGCACACATAGTGAATTCTGGCAGCATGGTCAGATCATTGGCATATGCTGCTGGCTGTTCTGTTTAGTAATTAGTGTCTGCACTCACTAGAGTGCTTTTTTTAAAAGTAAGTTTAGTTGTTTATATGTTTAGTTGTGTATATGTTTTTCTGAGCATGGCTTTTTCAGTATGTGTAGTCAGTATAATTAGCTTTAGAAATATTGCATTATGGCATGAGGCTGACTTCTAACGGAAGTACTTCTTTTTAAATATTATTCTTATCTGAAGAGTTGTTATTTTTTTTTAACTGAATTTAACTTTTAAATAAAAGATTTTTGGGGAGTGGTGTTTTTTCCCATATTTATATATGTCGTTTTCTTAAGGGGGGGGAATATCTATTTTTAATGTTGCTATTTCAAATAATCTGAGGCTTGGCCTGAAATGGACCTTGTGAATATGGCCCCAGAAAGTCTAGGGCTAGCCCCAAACGTGAGACAAATGTAAGGAATTTATTGCAGCAGCAGGAGATGGTTATCGTTCCTGCTACTTGCATGTTATCTCAGCACAGCACCGTTTTTAAAAGCCTTCATTTATTAGATAGTAAAGCTGCAAAAATGGAAAAATAAGACTGATTACACAGAATTGTATATAAACTACATTGTCTACTATTTTTATAGTGAAGCTGCTTTCTATTTGGTTAAAAGTTAAATTGCAGTTTGTTACTGGCTAGTCATTACGTAAGTTAATTTAAAGAAAGCAAGCGAAAGTAATAGAAAGATAGTTAGTTTTATGCCATAGTAGGTATTCATTTCTTCAGAAACTCTGAGAGACAGTATATTAAAGCAATGAGGATCAACAAAAATCTAGTTTAATTGTGCTTTTATTATAATGAAATCTTGGTTACTAATACTGTTTTCTGATTACTGGATGCGAGGCAAATGAACACATTTTCTCCCATAATTAAGTATTAGGTTGAGGAAATTACTTACTTAAGCTTTAACTTATTTGAATTATGACATAATAGCCAATTCCAGGAAGTTCTGCTTTTATTACATACCTGCAGGTGTTTTGCTTCCAGAGCATTTCACAGCAAAACCATTGGGACTGTAATTTACAACAATCTGTATCATTAACAGTTCTTCTAACCTACTTTTGATGTGCAGTATATTTATTATCTTTTTGTTTGTTTTTATGTTTCAACAGGATTCAATTGTAGCAATACAGCAGTTCCCTCTAATTGGCCAGCTTCTAGGAAGGCTTTGTTGGAATCCTTTTGTTATAGGATATGGTAAGAATGTGTAATGATACTTCTGCAGTAGTTCCATAAACTTTATTTTACACGAATTAGGAAAATACAATTTGTTATATACTTTAATTTTTTTTTTTTTACACAAAACCAGAACATCCTTTTTTACTTAAGTAAATTTTGAGATGAAAAGGTTAGCCAAGTTTTTAAAAATATGTGGCATTGAGAAATCTTAAATTTACTTTTGGAGCTAATTAATTTCATGGATTAGTTGCAGAATCTTGATTTGGGAGCAGTAGGTTTTAAACCCAGTGAGAGTTTATGTGCGTCATGATTTCCGTTTTTCTTACTTTCTTGTTGTATTAATTACATTTTTGTTAGTTTCTCAAAATGTACAAAATCTAGTGTTTCAGATTACTTTCAACAGAAGTTTCTTCCAGTTATACATCAGAATAGTATATATGCTAATATACAAGAATTAATTTCTGTGATACTTGGTTTGGTTTTTTATTAGTGTAAAGCTCTACTAAGTTATGATTGTGTTTGTTTTTACTGAGTTTATTCTGAATGTGTGTTTTCCCCATCTTGTAAACTAGTGAAAATGCACTTAGAATCAAAAGCAAAACAGTGAAGTGAGGACATAGGAAAAAAGCATATGAAAAACCAAAAGCCTCTTACTGGTAATGTATATGTGTGTAGGTGAGAATAAAGGAGAGAAAAGAAATTTGGGACAGGAAAACAGGGAGGGAGGAAACACTACTTGTGCTACCTTACCAGCAGTTCCAGTACATTTTTCAGGAATTGAGATGTTGATATGTTGATAAATGACTTGGGATCTACTTTTAAGCAGAAAACTAATTCTGAGCTTCTCTGTGAGCCCCTTAAAATAATCTTTTGCCAGCCTTCTGCTACTATTAAAACTACAAAAAAAAAAAGTCACATTTTGTCTCTTCTGCTTTACGCTTCCTTTTGGGGAAATACAGGAAAGGACAATTTTTGTGTTCACCTGGAAGGGCTTATTAAGTCAAGCACAGCATTATGCTAAAGTGATCATATGTCTTCTGGTTTGGCTTTATCTTCTTCTAGTCAGCTCCAAGCACAGGCAGAATGAACTTGTCTGCAAAACACATGGTAGATGTGTGTTACGTCAGAACTTCCCTCTGAAAGGAAAATTTGGGAAGGAACCATAGATTTAAACATAGATCACTTTTGCAGAGCAGCAAACGTGTGCTTTTGTGGCACCTTTTGAGAAAAGCCTTTTCATACTTTACAGACTTATTTTTACAATGGAGAGGTTCCCTTTTTAATCAGTTTCAGTTTTTGAGAATGTTGATAACTGTTGATGTTTACAATTACACACATGCTTTTCTTTCAAAGTTTTTGTTTGGAATATACCAGTCTTTAGACCACCAGTTTTTCTAAGCTGATGATATACTGTGGTACAGAAAGTAGCTTCATCTATATTTTTCATCCAAGTTGAAAGCCATCTTTCTGCTTTTGACTCCTTTTCGTAACAATCCCAGCAATACGTTCTTGGTCTCCTCTACTTCTTTCCTCTTCTTTGGGATCCCTCAGCATTTTCTAAAGCAAGAAAAGCGCTTTTTCTGCAAGTTGATCATTACCTCTGAAGATTGCAAGAGAATGGAGTTTTACTACAGGGGGTTTTTGGTCTCAAAGTTGCAAGCAAGCCAATTCAGAGAACTTCCCTTGCTCAAAATGGAATCCTTCACTTTAATGCTTAAAGATGAGTCAAGGAGATTTTCTGACATCAATAGACCTGAAGATGTCTGCTTATACATTTCCACCACTTCCTCTTTTTAGAGCCACCTGAGTGCTCTTTGGACTGCTGGCATTTTAGGTTCAACAGATTTTCCTTTTGTTTGGCACTAGTTCTGAAGATATTCTTTAAGATAGTGCTGGCTATAGCAGATGCTGACTCTCAAGTGGGTTTTATGTAATTTCTCATTTGGATAAATAGCTCATTCAGGCATGTGTCTGAGACCAGGCCACCCTCACAGTAGAAGGAACTAATTTTGTTCAATTCAGTCTTTCATACTAATAAATGGAGGAGGAAAAACATTATACTTCTGCATCATGTCCAAACCACAATACCTATCACCTTAGATGAATGCCTGTTGGTGCTGGAAGCTGACATGGCTGACCGCTCAGTGCAGGAAGCGTGGTCTCCAAGGGAAAATAATCTCCTCATAAACACTCCTGAGCAGGAGGTGACCAAGTTAGCCTTATTTAGAACGCTAATGTGAAGGAAGCACGACCGAAGAAAATCTCATGGCTGTACTTGTGGTCCTAAACCACAAGGGATACATGAGGAATTCAGTCTTGGTAAGGAATTCCAATGTTTTTTCTGTGGGCTAGGGGATTATCTTCTCAGTAGGACCCTCCTGGTTTGAGTTTTGAGCCCAAATGTCTTGAATCCCAAACTAATACTATAAATGCTGGGGAATTTCTTGGTGGCTCTGTATATCAGTATATGTGTGTGAGCATGCATGCTTATGTATACATTCATTTCCACAGAAAGTTCAGTTTTAGCTAATCAACATTTTCTGATCTAATTCAAATTTTACAACAAGCTCTAAAAGAATATTTCTGGCTGTAAGATTAGGGGTTTCTTATTAGTTCCTTGCATCTGGCCCTGTTCATGACAGGGTATTTATAAACTGACTGTACCATAGGATGATTGAGACCACACTGTGTTATGAGAAAAACATTGCCTTTTTTTCCTTTTTCTTTTTTTTTTTTAATTTTTGATGTGAGACTGGCCGGGAAGAAGTGCAATCTGATTCATCATAAAGGTTTGGGCTTCTCTGTTTGTTTGCTTGCTTTTGTTGGTTTTTTTTATTTTTTACAAAACAGCTTCCAAGCTGTCTTAAATTTCCTACAGAAAATTTTCATTCCTTTAGTTGGAATTACAACATTAACCTACTTAAGAAGTCCAGTAGATAGTTGGTGACCTTTTTTGGGATATAATTTCCAACTTTGAGTTACTGTTCCTCTGGATGTATTAATTGGGTATTTATTTGAGTAGTGAGCATTCTCTCATGCCATAAGAAGATCAAATGCCTTTGTTGATATCCTGATAATGGTTTTCAGTGCATACCATGATGGTATGTTTTCCACGGCGATCACAGTTACTAGAAAAATGGGAGGAAAAAGCCCGCCAGTAAGTTTTCTGTGGCTCTCTCTGTTTGGTCTTTTGATGCGATTATCTTTTGCAGCTGCCATAATTATTTTAAGATCTGTCCCCTCTTATTCTTAATCTTCCCATCTTTCATCCCCAGTTCCAAAGCAGTTGTGAAAAGAAAACGGTGAACTTGAGCGTGGCCCTCAGTGTCATTGGGTACTTCAGCAAGAGAACTGTATGGATCCTTTTCCTACTTTTCACAGGGAGGCTACTTCGGTTTTGGTTGTAGCCAAAAAGTAATTTTGACTGTGAAAATTGTGAATCTGTACAAGTCCCTTATTTGTTGGGAACTGTTGGCATAGCTATGACACCAATATAAGTTGTTTTCACTTAGGTTGAGGTTTGAATGTATCTGGCTAAATCTGTGTAACCTCATTATGCTGGCAAAGTGCGCCAGTATATCATTTATCTAAGCTTTGTTTTCGTCACTTTAGCTTTCATCATACTGATTTACATTTCTGACAGGCAACAATATATGCAATTTACTTTATAGTATGCAGCAAGTCGTCATGTGTAGCAAAAAGTCTTCTCATCCAGAAGTCTAATTAAGCAGTTACATGCATTTTTTTCACCTCTTTGCTTTATTTTTTTAGGTCAAAAGAAAACCATAACTTAAATAAAATGACTTAATGGCATACTGTAGATATACAGTATAAATAGGATGAGTCAAAAGAAGGAACACATCAACTATGTTTACTTTGTTCGGGATGGGTGATTTGGACTTGACCCCCCACCCCCCCACCCCCCCACACCCTGGTCTCTTTCTGTATAGTTTGACTTTTTAAAAAATATAATTCATATAACTGAAAATTAGCTCAAAAGCCAGACTTTATAAACAGACAATATTTTAGTACTAGTAACTAACAATGTTTAAAATCTTCATTTTCTGAGAAACAAATGGCTATCATTTAGTAGTTTAAACAAATAAAACAGTATTTGTTTATTTTTCCCCCCATATAGTTTCATGTCAGAGTTTAGGTGAAATGTTTTTCAAAGGAGATAGAGTTGCCTCTTAGTGCTGATGTCTGAATGCTAGTTGGATATAGTTACAACCAAAGTATAAGGATACTTTGAATTTCTGCTGAGCAGTATGCAAGATGTCTCCTTTAACTCCAATCTTAAACAACCTAGGAAATCATTATCCTTATAAAAATCCATATTAAAAAAAAAAAAATCCCCAAACACACAATGGCAGAATACCCCAAACTGTAGTCAGTTAAATGTGTATGTTTGAGAAACCATTTCTGTGCAGAGATGTTAGTCAGTGGGAGGCCAGTAATGGCCTACAGGCGTGTTGGACATTTATTGAGGAATACTGGTTTAAATCAATATTAACTTCTCTGATCACCTGGTGAAAATACAGGCATTACTTAATGGAGCTTTTATTTTTTCTTCAGGCTTTGCCAACAAAGCACTTTTAAATAATACTGTTTATTACATCCTGGATAACAAATACACAGAAAACAAAAGAAATCGCTTGTTGAGCTTGACAATCAAATTGTCTCCTAATACAATTTCTAAAACTCATGTGGTATTACTTGTTTGTATTATTTTTAACAAGAATAATATTGCTTACTAGGTGAATATTATATCAGAGCTACAATACCGCATCCAGTTTTCATAATTTTTATTACAATCATGCAGTTTTATTCTGGGATGAAATTCAGTGTAGCGGCTCTTGGTATCTGCCAAGGAACATTTAAAAAAAAAAAGCCTATTGAAAATTAGTTAAATGGCTCTTCAACTGCTTAGTCCAAATAATCAGCTCCTCTATAATAATATCTGTGCATCTGAGCAGTGACAGTAGTGCTCAGTATAGTAGGTTTTTAGACAAGGCAACTAATTTCCAACAGTGGGTTAGAATTAAGTAAAACCTGATCTGATCCTGAACAGAAAATCACAATAGGATTTTTTTCCATCAGCATTTAGCTATTCTGCTGTCTGCAGAAATGTCATTTTCCTGAAACATGGAGAATCTTAATATATTCTAATAGAAAACTTGATGTTTTACATTCTTGTTATGAATTATTTCATACTTCATGAACTTAACTTTTTCAGAAGTGGGCGTCCTTTACTTGTGCAAGCTTTGGACATAACGTAATAACGATTTTACTACTGTTGATTATTGTTTATTATTAATGATATTATTTAGATACTGAATTGAAAGTTCCTTGATGATAGCTTCAAGTATTATTTATGTAAATGAATCACTAGGTCATGCATGTTTCTTAAGACCATTTAAATATTGTATAGATTTTGAACTCTCTGATACCTTTTACATTGCTATTGAAAGAAATGATTACATAAGAACTACATATGAATAACATTAAATGTGTGGTGTGAATCTGGTAGAATAGAAGCATTGTGAGTTGAGACAGATATTTAGGGCTTTAGTTTTGTGGATGGGTAGGGATTGTTGTGTGTAATTCTGTCTGTGTTTTGATTTTTCTTTTTTTTTTCTCTAAATGTATCCTTATTTGCTTTTCTTCCTGCAGATGAAAGCCAGAAGACTCTGATGTGGTGCTTGTGTTGTCTATACAGCAGTGAACCACAGAACCCTGTGGAATTGAAGGCCAACAGCTGGATACGGGTAAGTGAATGAATCCTTCCCAGGACTGCTTTGAATTAAATTGATTATTTAAAGGTGCCACATCTATAGCATAGAGACATTGTCATTTAAGAAACTGCTCCAAACACAACTTGCATACATATTGTGTTGAAGTATATATCACTCTAATTATAACACAGTCAGTGCTAGTCTGTCATTTTAAATATTAAAAAGATGTGGCATTTTAAAGTGGGTAGTTTTGATGGCTTTTAACCTAGTAGATTCACCAAGTCTAGTAACTCAATAGTGAGCAATGACCACAAATCAGAAGGGAAGCGTTATTAAAAAAAAAAAAGAACCTTTCAATTAGGATAAAATAAATAACCTGGAGAAATGCCATAGTTTGTTTTGAAAACAGCTTATATTTGCTCTTTAATTTTATTCTTTTTTGCTTTTCTTTAATCTCCTGCCTATGAAGAATTTAATTGTATCCAAACTTTCTTCAAAGGCAGTCAGAGAGGGGAGGGGTAGTGCTTGTGTGTGGATTTATATTTAGTGACTTAAGGAATAATGAATCCTTAACTTTAATCCCAAATTTAGGGTTTTGCATGGCACATCTGTTCATATTTTATATATTTCCACACTGAACTAGCAAAGCACATCAGCATGTAAATAACTTGCAGCACATTGATGCTTAGTGCTTTACATTGCTGAATAGCAATTTGAGGGTGCAGTGTTGTTGATTTTACATCCTTGCATTCTCCGTGGGTCCATATCAAAATATGGTTAAAAATATTAATGGAACTTTTAAAGTATTTTTTTAATATCTTATAGTCCTCACAACTAGTGAGAATGTAGCAGCCTCATCATTATTTATGGTCATGTCTGCTAAAGCTGAAGGTACTTCTAGGCTTCTCTAAGTAGTTAATTTCTTACTAGTTGACTTTGTACATGTCAGTTTATCTAGGTATGCATGTAATTCTAGGATGTACAAATTATTATAAAATAGGTAATGATACTGCAGATGTTTATGTTGGTAAATAACTGTAATTAACTGTGTAGTATTGTTGATTTAGGTGCAGTAATTCTCAGCAGTAAGTTCTCACAAACTTTCAGATGCCCTTGGGTGCCTGTATATACCTATTTAGTAGGTTGTACCACACGCCATGAAATTCTCAACAACATAATACTAACTAAAATCACCCTTACTTTCTTTCTGTCTTTAACTTTTTTCAAGAGGCTTTTCCTGAGGTTAGTATACTTGGAATTCACAGCGTGGCAATGCTTGAATACCAAAGTAAAGTGATGCAAAAAAAAAAAAAAAATCTGCCTTTTCTTGCTGGTTGGATATATTCTTCATAATGACACAGGAGATGCACAACAGCATGCACTTAGTTATCAAACAGAGCAAAATTTGTCATTTTACATGTTACTAGCAGCAGCATATGCATTAATGATGTTAAGTGGTGAGGGAGAGTTGTACCCAGACAATCTTCTACAGATAGCTTTTCTTTCTGGGACGTGAAAAAACCAGTTGTTTTAATCTAGATCAGTTGCCTTATCTGATTGATGTAACTGAACTGATGGTGTTGCTGATATAAGAAAAAGTACCAAGTAAACAAGAACAAACAGTTGGGGATGGATGAAGGTGGGACTGCTGCTTTTGGCAGCACTGCCACCTGAAGCTGTCTTAGATTGGGACTAACATGTAAGCATTTTATTCAAACCTCACTGTAGTCTGCAGGAATTTTTCACCCACTGTGTGTTTGAATCAACCTTAACAGTCATTGTGACTTGACGGGTCAAGAGTTAACCTAAAAGTGGTAAGGAAGAGGGCATGGAGGAGTTCAAAGCACAAACATGTCTTACTACCTATTTTTATCATTCAGCATTTCCCTAGTTGCCTAAAGGGGGTGTAGCATAATATGATCTGAAATGTAATACATTCGTATTTTGATTGGAGGGAAATAGCTCTTGCAAAACTTCTAATTAAAAAAAAACAAAACAAAAGGATAGGTAAGGGAGGTTGTAAAATGCACAGCATAAGGATACAAAAGTTGAGATTAAAAGAAAGGGTATTGTTAAATTGTTTTCTATAGCCATTAGAATTTCTTCTCAATTTCTTACTGTCCAGTGTGCATCATCACAAAGCTTTTTGAAGAAAGTGGTTTTATCTCCTTTTCCTAATCAGCATTGTAATTCTAGTCACCAGCAATTGCGATGTAATAAGGACTATCATGCTTGTTTGTACAGAATAACCTAAGTTAAATATTTTACTACTCTTGAAGGGTTCCTTTTGCCATGTGTGATAATGATTTATATTTAAAAGAAAATAAACATATAGTAAGTCTGTTGACCCTCGTAGTGCATACTTAACATTGTTTCCTCCTGAACTGGTTTTTTTTCCATTTTATATGTGTCTCAAAAGATTGTCACAGGAAGGGATCAAGACACATTTGCTATGAGAGCCATAATTTGAGGTTTGCATCGGCTATTTTCATATTGACTGGATGACCAGCCTCTACAGCGGTTTGATCTGACCTCAGCCTTGTTTGTAATATGGCGGGAGCTCTTTATAGCAGGGATATTCACTCTCTGCTGGAGAAGATGCCAAATACTGTCATACGCTATGGAAAAAAATGGCCAAAAGTCTAAAATATATAGTTGAAACAAATTCTTGGGGGTGGGGAGAAAGGTGGTTTTGTGGCTACATGATGTAAAGATGTACACTTCTGAAATCCAGAAATTAATTCTAAATAAAGCTTTGAAATTTGAATGCTACCTGAAAGGTTTTTAGTATTACGGAAAACTTGCCTGTACTTGGAATGAAATGATAGATTATCTAAGGTATTTAAGCTCTCCCTAGAGGGTACGGATGGAAAGCCATCCATGGCCACACAGAATGGGGCTCTGTGTCGGGTCCATACACACTGACACAGGAGCCATGGAAAACAAGTTTACATACAGGAACTGCTGTTCAGCTTCTGTGGAAGTGACCTTCACAGTAGCCTTGTACTTTGGCCCTGCAGCTGAGAGTTAATTTTACCTCCTCAGCTTAATACTTCAGCATACACTGAGGAGGATTACTCAGTTTTTAAAAAGCTAAAGTAGTTCACTGTGTAAGCCACAGTGCTTCATATGCATCAAAATAAATTGGGATCTCTGGGTGTACATTTAGTTGACGATAGAGAAAATGTAAAAAAGCAAACCCAACCAGCCAAACAAACAAAAAAACCCACCCAAACAACCAAAAAAATTAGGAGGAGTGTGTAATGGAGATAGACAACTTTACCTGCTTACTGTTAACTGTTTAATTTTCACAACAACAACAAAAAAACCTTTTTAAGATTGCTTCCTAGTTTTATGGGTTTTAAATGTGGCTTACATGAAAATTTTCCTCCCAAGATGCAAAGTTATATCTGATTGGAAAATGATATTATTCAGTCAAGTTAGTGGTGAATATTCTTCTTTCCTTTGTTTTTATTGCTATGTACATTGACTTTAAATTACACCTTGCTTTTTGTCATGGCAAGTGCGAGTTCCTAAACAGTACTTTGTGGCCTTTCAGTGCGTTTTTGACTAAGGTCATTGATAGGAAGGCTGATCTCAAGTCTTTTGTTTTCAGCTACTAAATTGCATTTTCAAAGCAGCAAAAAATGTATTTGGTGCTTGCTTACTTTTAACTTTCCTGTCGTTGTCATAGAAAATCTGTGTTGTTTTTAATGACAAGAAGGGTAGCTACCCATTTGAACTGCATTATTAGTAAGTTTCAGAAACCACGATCATGCAGGTCTGTAAGTCTCTGAAAGAATTAAAAAGTACAAAGAAATTACTTGGAATTTAATTAAAACATGCAACGTAGACGGCAGTGTTTTTAGGAACAGATGCTGCTTAAAAGGGTAGAATTACTATTTATTTTTTTTATGATTCTGAATTTTAGTGCTGGAATCTAGGTTCCGTAGGTCTTCTATACAGCCAGACATAGTCTAGGAAGCCAGGATACATGCTGCCACAGACTTCTCACTGATGAATCAATCACGACATGGTGAAACCAGTCTCAGAGAAAGAAAGTGATTTAGTTTCTCCAGCTGGCCTTCTCTGAGCAGAGAGTTTTGGAGCTGTGCAGTAAGTGTGATTCTAACATGGGCTTCTGTCTGGTGGGGCTAGAACCGCTTCCTTTCACTGCAGGTTACTCTTGCAATCACATTGCAGCAACTAGAGAGCTTTTCTGAAGTAGATTTCCATTTTATTAACTTGGTCACACCTCCTCCTCTGCTCTCAGTTTATAAACGGTGTTTATGAATTTTTTATGGCTTTGGAATTTGTTTCAAATACTGCTTTTGTTGTATTGTTTTGGAAGGCCATACATACTTGTGAGAGTGTTACAGCCCATCCCTTTTCAAATTGGGTAAAACAGGAAAAGTTAATATACCTCTTTTTAATTTTTTTTATTCTTTTTTTTTAATATAATATACATTTTCTCAATGCTTTACTTTCCCTCAAAGGAATACAAAGCAACAAGACGGTGTATACATAATAACTTAAACATAGGGGTGGAAAGCCTGTGGCACGTATTTTTAGAGGTGGTTTTTGGGCTTTGCCATATTTTCCTTTCTGGAAATGTGTAGTTCTTTTGGGTATCTGTATCCTATGCAAAGCCACATTATATTAATGGCCACAAAAGTAATAGTCGTTCTTTGTAAGAGTAATTTTTAATGGCACTGGAATTATAAAACTCTTTCTGTTATATTTTCAAAAATACCTAGTGAAACTTGTGTGTTTTATCTTTCGTAAGATTTCATACATGTTTTCTCTTACCAGTGTTATTCTGGGTAATTCTTCAACTGAGGATGGTACGATGCCAAACTGACGTAAAAATTTTGATTCAGAAAGTTTTGGTTTTATTGTGTCAGTGAGTCTCTAGTTCCTCAACAGAACCGTGTAAAAATAATGTTCCTATGAAAATACTAAAACTGGAAAAAAAAAAAAAAAAGCCCCTAAAGCTCTGACTTAGCTATTAATCATTTGTGAATGTTGCTGAG